GTTTCTTTGTTTTAAAGCTCTGTGCACACGTCATGTTTGACAGGATGGCCCTGATTCAGCAAAGCATTTAATTTTAAGCATGTCACTTCACGTGCTAAAAGTTACGTGAATGCTCAAGTGAACTGATGAACAGGGATGGAGTTAAGCACTTAGATAAACACGCACTGAAGTGTGTTGCTGAATTAGGACCTGTGTAATTAATAATAATTAAGGCTAAGATTATGTAACAGAGGTCGCAGAAGTCACGTAATCCATGACTTCCGGCGACCTCCGTGACATTGGGGGCCCTGGCAGCTGACTGGCTGCTGCCGGCAGCAGGGACCTGGCAGCAGCCAGCCTCCACGGGCGGCGGGGGACCCTCTCGCAGCTGCTCAGCAGCTGCGGGTGGCGGGATCCCCACAACTGACCGGCCACCACCACTGGCAGCGACCCCTGAGCTGCCCAGCAGCTCTGCCGCTGCGAGCAGCCCCCGCCCCTCCCCGGCAGTGGCAGAGGGACCCCGGAGCTCCCCAGCTGCCATCGCTGGTAGGGGCACCCCCTGCAGTTGCTCAGCTGCCACGAGCAGCCCCCCCAGCTCCCAGTAGCGATGGCAGAGGGAGCCTGGAGCTGGGGCCCCCTGCAGCTCCCTAGCCTCCGCTTCTGGTAGGCCTCCGCCCCAGCAACTGGGCAATGGGGTCCCTGCAGCTCCCAGCTGCTGCAGGGGGGTGGGTGCTGGACCCACCTCCCTCCGCATTTTGTCAGGGATGTTTTTAGTAAAAAAGTCAGGGGTGGGTCACGGCTTCTGTGATGTTTTGTTTATTGTCCTTGACCTGTCCATGACTTTTACTAAAAATACCCATGACAAAATCGTAGCCTTAATAATAATTTTTCATCTACAAATAGCTTAGTAAAAGGATTCGCCGTTATGAGAGCTGGGGAAGAGGGTTAGACACTGATCCATTATCCAAGCCTGCTGGGGCACATTAATATCAGTGACAACTTCAAAGTATCGCTAATAGAAAAAACAAACTTCAGCGCACACTCCATAAATATGCCAGTGGCACTCCTAATAGAACACAGTGAGGCAGCTTCGGCTCTGTTCCGCCTGTGTCATTCTGGAGTAACTTCAGTGAAGCGAATCTACATGGAATTACTCTGCACGGAATTTGCACCAGGATAAGAATGGAATCTGGTCCTATATGTGCTAGTTTTCTTGAATCTGGTCTTGAAACAGGACCATTTAATATTGATCACAAGAATAATTTATTATATTTTTAAAATAGCTATAACTACAAAATAACGGGTCATGACATTTTCCCTTGAACATTTGAAAATGTAAGACCACTCATCCACTAACAGCCTATATTGTTGAGTAACCTGACCCAAGGTAATGAGAAAAGAAGCCAAGTGCTGCCAGAGTACAACTCTGGCACAGAGACTTGGAAACAAATTAATGTCAAGAGGCAGAAAGCTTTAAAGTCTTGGTTTTGCTTGCAGCCATACCCGCCTCTGCTATAATAAACTATGCAGGATCAGGTTGGGTTAATACTTTGGGAGGGATGTAAAGTGGATGATGTGGACCAATGTTATAGCCCGCTTGTCTGTTGTAATACACTGCTAGGCCTTCTGGAAATGGGAAAGGTGGTCTCCAAAAGAAGGAAGCTGGGCAAAAGGTTGCAGCTTGCGAACTAGAGGTGAGGGAGGAGTTGAGCCCTGAACGAACCTGTCAAAATTATTGTTTCAATTATGACTGGGTATTCACTGAAGGAGGATGAGCAGCTCCTTTCCTCTTGAGTTTCTGTCTCTTTCTAGTCGGCTCAGTGGTTCTGTGAAATCCAGAGAACTAGGCTGGGTGCGATTTCTTGGTAGTTTGAGACCTACTAAATCTCCTCTTGTTTGTAGTAGAGTATATACCCAGAAACATCACTCTGGCCCTGGAGCCCTTCAGCGTGTGCAGGTATTCGTCTGTAGTCCCTGAGAAGAGCTTCTGACCATCAAACGGGAGGTCCTCAACAGTATTCCGAACCTCTCTTGGGAGCTCCGACAGTTGGAGCCATGACGCCCTGCATATGACAACCGCTGTGGCGATGGATTCAGCGGCAGTGTCTGAAGCACCCAAGGACTTGGAGAAAGGTTCTGGCTAATAACTGACCCTCCTTAATGATGGCCTGGAAGTGCTCTCTATGCGCCTGTGGAGGATGTTCAATAAAGGTTGCAAACTTCTTGTAATTTGTGAAGTCATACTTGGCCTTGATTGCCTGATAGTTTGAGATCCAAAATTGGAAGGTCACAGATGAGTATGCCTTTCAGCCAAAAAGGTCTAACCTCTTCTGGTCCTTATCATAAGGGATAGACCAGGAGTAATGCTGTTTACCCCACTTTTTTACAGCATCCACCACTAGGAAATTAGGTGGGGGAGTGGGAAAACAAAAATTCGGAGTCTCTGAGGGGAACATAATATTTCTTATCTGCCCATTTACAAGTTGGCAGAATGCTGGCAGAAGTTTGCCACACAATCTTTGCTGGATACAGGAGTGCTTCATTAATGGGTAGCACAACCCCAGTGGGTATCACCCACTGCAGAATGTCCAGGAGTTTGTGTTGTGAGACTTTAACCTCCTCAAGAGATATCTGGAGGGTGTCTGCCACCCTCTTCACAAGGTCCTGGAATTGGCTGGAACTTGGCAAATTGCTGCTGATATGCTGTCCAAGGATCCCAGTATGGCCATTCGTGGGGTCCATATGGGAGAGGGGGATGGCACCCAGGACTGATCCCACTATCCCTGACATGGATGAGGATCCTTGTCAAACTATGGGTTCCTGTAATGATGTGGAAGGGAATCCTGCACTGATATGGAGAAGACTGATTGAATATCTCTTTCATCCGCCTCAAAGTCCTCCAGTGGGGGTGAGGGAGAGCCTCAGTAGAAAAGAGTGGAGAATCCTCTGTTACCATGAAGCAATTGTAATCTGGAGATCAGGGTCTTTTGACTGAGAGTCATTCTGTACCCATAAGCAGTGAGGTCTCTTGCTCGTATCACAGTGAGTAGAGTAGTGGAATTCCTGTGGTACCAAATGGGTCAGTACTGACACAGCATTTGAGATGGACAGTACCATAAATCTGGAGTGCCCCGGTGCTGGGGCCAAAGGTGTCTGATGCTTCAATTTTGCCAGTGCCGACGGAGCCAAGTGCAAAGGCACTGTTGGTAAGTCTGATGTAGATGGTGCCGTTCTAAAGGAGTGTATGTCCTGGGCCTCCCTGTCCTTCGCAGATGGTTCCAGGGGCCTGCTGGAGCCATCCTTCGCTGAAGTGCTCTGGGATCTCCCAGACCTGCCAGTACTGTAGGAAGAGTTCTTTGTCTCCTCGGTACTGAATCAAGAGGTTGAGGCCTCTGACATCATATACTGAGCGGGAGCCAGCTCCTTGCGACGGGAGACCGAGCTTCTCTTCTTCTGAGCCCTCCTTTAGGCCTCTAAAGTTTTCCCTGTCTTAGGGGAAACCTCGGCCAAACTCAAAGGGATACACTATCTGCCTGAAGACAGGTACGGGAGTCTTCTGACCTGGCTCAGAAGCGGGTTAAAGGGAGAGCTCCATCACCAGAAACTTCAATTTGGTCTCCTGATTCTTCCATGCTCTAGATTTGAGAGCCCGGTAAAAGAGTTACACTTTTGGGAGATACGGGACTCTTCCAAGCAATGGATATGCTTAGAGTGGCCATTGCTGACTGGGATAGCCTCCCAATAAGAGAGGCAGCGTTTGAAACCTGGCCAGCCAGGCATGCCCAGCCAGGCCAAATAAGCTCCCCAGAAAAAGAGGAGGAAAAAGGGAGAGGAAAAAAACCCCCAAATCTCTCATTACTAATTCTATACTAACAACAACTAGCACTAAGAAGAAACACTAATCTAACTACAGAACAACTGCAAAACATGCTGAGGCATGCACAAGGTGGACATGCTAGATCTCCATCTCAGGCAGAGGCAGTAGAGAAGGAACTGTGGGGCAGTTTGCCCATGCAGCCCTATATCCTTGGAGATCGGCACAGGTTGCATAGAGTGCATGCGCAGGCTGAACGGACTCTGCTAACAGAAGATCTCTGATCAAGGACTTCACATGCACACCTGAAGTGTAGCACCCATTGAGACACTATTCAAAGAAGATCTAAACCTTCTAAAGAGACTCCTGAAAACTCTGAAGAGACAAGTGAATTAAACTGTTTTATGTGGGGACTTGCCTTGTGCAGCAAGGGACTATGGGACATCTCCTCCCCAAGAGAAAAATCGGGGTGTATGAGAAGGGAAGAGACAATGAGGTGGAAATGAGGGTGCCTCTTGCCAGTCTTTTTCTTATTGGATGCAGAGCTTGCCAAACCAATTTGCAGCAGCTCCATCAGCGAAGCACAGGGCCCTCAGACCACCATCAAATCTGGTCAGAGGGGAGTCATCAGTGATGCGTGATGTTGTCTATCTTTGGGACAGCCACACGGAAGAGCCTTTCATTGGCCCCAGATGTGAAGGCTGGCTGCACACTGACCCTGACCCGTTCAAAATCAGTCCAGAAGGACCCCATAGCAGCGTGGCAAATCAAAGCTGGGTACGCACATGGTTGGGTCAGTTATAAGAGACTGGTTTCTGATGTCAGCTGCACACCATTCTTTATGTCAAATCAACGATGCAGAGAAATCTGGGCAGGGCATGTGGGAAGACAACGGGGGCCTCTATGACAAGTAAGCTTTTCGGGTGGTCGAAGACACCATGTATAGTGGTAGGCTCAGGTTTGCCCTGATCTTCTCAAACATTCTAGTTGTAGCCTCCTCATGACACAAGCGATGTTGCTTAACACAGGGAGCCCTGGTACGGGTCGAATTGTCCCAGTCACGATGCGCATGGTTGAGAGTAGTTGTGTGTCAACCAACGTGATCTGAGACGAATGGAGCCAGACTGGAGCAACATATTCTGCTGCAGAGTAACGGAGGGCTAAACTGGATGATCAGAGAGTTTGAGCGTTTGCTCCCCATGAAGTGCTGGCCAATTTACTTAGGAGGTTGTCATGCGACCTCACCTTATCTACAGTTTTCCTCACGCGGTTAAGATGTGAGAAATCTGTTCTAGGATTACTCTGAGACAGACTGGGTGGGATTTGTATTTCGATCAATGTCCATTGAGAAGGATATCCAGTTCCTGGGCTGCTCTGGCATTGTAAAAATGGAACACATTCAAAACAGTCTTGGTCACATTTACTGGTTGTAAATGCTACCAAATGCAGTATTCGGCCATCTTAGTCAAGTCAGCATTTAGGGTGCATTCAAGTTCTAGGAATGACTGTGCTTGGACGCCTAAGCAAATGTCATCTGTGTACATGGACTTGTGGGGCTGGGTAAGCAAGAGGTCATTTGTGTACAGACTGAAAAGCAACTGGGGCAACTGGGGCAAAATCAGTACTTGGTCCTGCTAGTGAAGGCAGGGGGCTGGACTTGATGACCTTTCAAGGTCCCTTCCAGTTCTAGGAAATAGGATAGGATATCTCAAACAGTGCCAGCACAGAGCCTTGGGTAAACCGCTGGTTTGTCTTTTCCACATGCTAACTCTGTCTCCCATGTGCACTTGGAAACATCTGTTGTGGAGAAGGTCAATGATGTTGACTACCTATCCTGGGAGTGCTCTTGACAATTTGACTGAGAGCCCCAAGCACCAGACCACGTCATATGCTGCTGTCAGGTCCAGAAATATGGCTCCTGTCTTCTGTTTTTTCTGAAAACATTTTCGAAGAATGTTTTCAAAACTAGCACTTGATTGAAGGTGCTCTGACCTGTCCAAAAGCCTGCTTGCTTAATGCTGAGCACTGATTCCACTTCTGGGAGATACGCTGGAGAATGAGATTCTCCGGCACCTTGAATGGCACAGACAACGGGGATATCAGTTGACAACTTGCAACATTATGTGGCTCTTTTCCTAGTTTCAGGAGAGCAATGACTTTTGACATTCACAATGTCTTTGGAAGTCACTCTTTGTGAAGAACTGCACCAGTCACTGATAAACACAAGTCCCGAGGTGCTTCAAAAACTCTGGCAATATGTTGTCATAGCCAGGAGCAGTGCCACAACTACTATCACTTACGATTTGGTCTAACTGTGGCTGTGAATGACTATATGTGTTGCTGAGTCTCTGACAACTGGCAGCTTGGTTTGGTATGCCAGGTGGTTGGCTTAGGGATGGTGGTTGCTAAGCTTTGTTTAGACAGCAAATCAAATTCCAGCATTTCCAGCTGAAGTGAATGATGTCTAGATTTCGAGTAGTCTTCCCATTGTGCCTGTCTAGCAGCCTCCAGTGACTCGATTATGTGATCAGCAATATCTGGATCAGCAGAGGATCCCTACTGCCCAAGCAGTTTAGTACCATTCAGCATGAAGGCACAGCATGTAGACTGGACGGTGGTTGTGCAATATGGATGCACAGGCAGCTTTGAAGATGGCTTCTCAGAATCGCCTGAAAGCTTCATAGACCAGATGATGTGTGATGGTATGGAGATGACACTTTTCTAGAGCATCTGTGTACTTCTTCCTGTCTGCCTTCCTGAAGTTCTATCTCAGTTTGTCAAAGGATCTAATGATTGGGAGTTGTAGGCCAATGCAGATAATGGAAGGTCTTTCAAGACGAGACATGATGTAGGTTGGGAGTGACCATCCATGGATGACATCCAGCATAAATCAGGAGAGCATTTTCTTGCCAGTAATTATTTGCTATATCGCTTGCTTACATCCTGCTATGGCATCTCAAATTAATTACAGATTACAGCTCCCTGTAGAATGTGGCAAGTGGAGTTCGGCTCCATCACTGATGGGGCACCAAGGTCTTTTTCATGAATAGTATTCAGTATCAGTGCAGATGTTATATGTTAAACAGAAGAGTTAACAGCTAATAGGTGATTATGACACAAAATCTCATTGTGAAGATCTAAGGCTTGTGGAAAAGCTAACACAAACAGGAGTAAAAGAGACAAATGTCCTGCTGCTTTGACAGAGAACAAACTCTTGATGTAGCCCCGAGAAGGGCATGGGCACCTATCTGAACTCTGGAGGTATTCGCTGCCAGTGTGCTTCAGAAGTAGCAGTGTGTGTTAAATAAATCTCTGTGTATGAATGTGTAACCCTTACCCACCCCAGATACACGTTTTCTAGAATGTCACTTTCAGAGTGAAATCCCAGCGTCCTCCCAACCATCTTCCTATTTTCACTGCCCCACAGTGCTCACAGGGCTACTTACATACCTGGCTAGCCACGTCATTACTTCATTACAGCTTGGGCAAATTTCCCTACCCCTGGAATCTGAGCTACTGCAGCCTACAGACATCCTGTAGCTCTGTTACTTACTGAAACTAGTAAACTGCCCTCTGATCATTAGCTGAAAACCAGAACAAATCACTATAGATGCTGCAATAGGGTGCAATACCAATGGAAATCAGAGTGCACACGAGGGAGGTTTGGTGCATAAATTAAATGCAGCTGCACTTTTTGATTAAACCCACTACTAGCAAACGAATCAGGATACTGTGTTCCAGTGACACGCAGACTCATGTTTTCAGCAGGTGCCTGTTACATACTATGGGGATGGGTGCCATAAAAACACCTGGGGAGGGGGAGAGAGTGGAAAAAATGGTGGTATGGTTTAAGGCACTGGACCAGAGTTTAGGAGTCACGACTCTGTGGATCTGCCCCAGATTTCCTGTGCAAGGTTGGGCAAGTCCCTTACGGCTGTATTCGCCATGGGGACATAAGCGATGCAATGCTGAATGTTGCAGCACCTGACTTTTAGGTGCCCTGCTGCTTAGTGGAATTCACAACCCCAAGTTAGGCACCCACCCAAGCTTCCTGTACAATGTCTGGGGAGAATTAGGCACCTAAGAATGGGATTCACAAAAGCCAGCAAGCTGAGTGGGGAGCTGTCTAAACTAGCCATAGGAAATACTGTGGGGAAGGGGTGAGGCCTAAGCCCTGCCCCTCAAAGAGAGTTAGGTGCCTAACTTCAGGCTTCCCTCTGCTCGAATCCACAGCTGTAAACCTTCTCCTGCATCACGAGCACCTAACTCTGTATGAAATACTTTAAATATTCACTGGAGCAGGGACTGGAACCTGGGTCTCCCAGGGAAGTGCCCTAATCTCTGGACTACACAATTGTTTTCACATCCTCTCTGGCCCAGTTAATGGTTAAGTATTTCATACACACTGGAGCAGCTTCAGCAGGAGAGAGACTGGCAGAGACTCATTCCAGGATGCGGCATAGCCCTGGAAGGTGGGAGACCTGGGTTCGTGTGCCTGATCCACGTCAGGGAGAGGAGGCATTTGAACTCAGCTCTCCCACAGCCTGGGTACGTGCTCTAACCGCTGGGCTATTGGGGGAAGGGTCTGTGACACTGTCACCAAGTTTCACGTAGGATCTGATCTGTTAGGTGTGCTCTGAGTATACCCGTAGGATTGGGTCCCACTGGTGGAAGAGGTGGGGAAACGCCACGTTTGTGAAATCTGCAGGGGCTTAGGTGTGAGGCGCCATGTTCCTCAGTCCTGTCAGGACTTAGGTGGCTGTGCACATGCCCACAAGTACAAATTTGGGCACCTAGGGATATTATTGGTGGATACGTAGGCACCTACGGGCTTAGGCAGCAGCTGAGCAGTGGTTTTGTGAATATCAATGTTGTCTAAATGTTGGACTTAGGCGGCTAAAGTGTCAGTTAGGTACCGAAATCCCATTTGTGAACATACCCCTTAGTCTCTGTGCATTCCCCATCTGTAAAATGATGATAATGACACTTCCTTTCTCCCATTATTTGCCTGTCTTGTGTATTAGACAGTAACCTCTTTGGGGCACGTCCTGTCTCTGTTTTTGTGCAGCATAGAGTACACAGAGGCCCTGATTTCAGCTAGGGTCTCTAAACACTATTGTAATACAAATATATAACAACAACTCAGATAATATGCATGCAAACTTGCAGAGGTATCTGTTGGTACCACAAAAATGCTCTTGTATTCTCAAATCAGGTAACTGGTCATGTGCCTTCATATTTTTGTAGGCCCACTGAAAATCTGGGCCACCATGTGTAACCAAATAAAAAGAGAGACACTCTATGGTCCTATGGATGGATGCTGCTCACCATGCCACTGTTCAATAGAATGGGGGCATCCTTACAGATCATCCTTACTAAAATGAACTATACTATGTGTACCAGAACCTGTACCTGCCCTGGCCCATTACCTGTATATCTTTCTGTAGAACAAATCACACCAGTATATCCTGTTTGTTGCCACCTCCACATCCAAAGCCACCACATTCTTCAGCATGGGGATGATGCGAGAGTAGTCCCTTTTCACCAGATCTATCTTGCGTACCTCGTGGCGGTTGGTGAAGATCAGGTATGGACTCTTGCCTATCACAGAAAACAAACAGGTGTGGCTTTTATTTTACCAGCTGACTTGACAGTAGAGGTCTAAGTGCCACATCCAGCTCTCATTATGCGGGGCATAACATGGAGGGTGATCTCACTGAAGCCAATGGAATCATGCTGCCTGCTTCTTTGCAGTTATATCCCGTGAGGGAGTTTTACTGTGTACCAGAAGCAAATGTCACCATTTCCCAGAGGGGGGAGCTGTTACATCAGAACATGAAGAGTCTGAGCAGCAGCAGCAGCTTGCCAGAGCAGCAGCAACATTTGCTCTTATTCTGCCCCACTTGCTAAGAAGTCACAAGTGAAACACTGAGGGGTTTCTTCACTCTATCAGGGGTCATCAGCAACCTTTCAGAAGTGGGGTGCCGGGTCTTCATTTATTCACTCTAATTTAAGGTTTCGCGTGCCAGTCATACATTGTAACGTTTTTAGGTCTGTTTCTATGAGTCTATAATATATAACTAAACTATTGTTGTATGTAAAGTAAATAAGGTTTTTAAAATGTTTAAGAAGCTTCATTTAAAATTAAATTAAAATGCAGAGCTCCCCCCCCGGACTGGTGGCCAGGACCCGAGCAGTGTGAGTGCCACTGAAAATCAGCTCACGTGCCGCCTTCGGCACGCGTGCCATAGGTTGCCTACCCCTGCTCTATATGATACATTTTTAACTCTAAGTTGTAGGGTCCCATTCTGGTTGCTCATGCCTGGATGAGCTCGGGGGCTGGAAGCAAGCAGGCACAGCCATCCCTCCCCAGCTTGTGCAGGGGGCAGTCAGAGGCCTCCTCGGGGTTGCATTGCCTGAGTACAAAGTGCAGAGGGACATTAGTGCCGTGTCCAAGTAGATGGGCCCACGCCTGGTCACCGGAGACTGGCTCTGCAGATAGCACATCTGGCACCTCCTAACAGGAGGGATGGGGGAACACTTAAGTGTGCTCCAGCAGAGCTCTTGGACCCACTCAGCTGGCGTCTGTCCTTCGCAGGCATGAAGCCTCTGGCCCCGACAGCTCATGTCAAATGTAATGGCATCCACCTCTACTGGGGTTGTGGTACTAAGGCCACAGGCCAGCCCAGAGATTCTAGCAGGAAATGTCAAATTGATTTTTCTTATGACAAACTCAGGAGAGATGGAAGCATATTATCTGTGTTATTTTCCTCAGGAAAAACTGTATGCATCTCAGCTTCCTTTGTGACGGAGTACTTACTCAGGCAAACCTCCCATTGCAGGGAGTGTAGGTCTGATAAAGGGATGAGCACTGCTCATAAGGACCGGGAGATATGTGCAGTCAGTGACCCTCAAAACCAGCAGAAGCGGTGAATAATTCTGCATATTTTCAGTGTGTTGACCTTTAACCTCAGCTCAGGGGATCAGGTAAATAAACGTTTATATCTTAGATAAAGTGAAGATACTTGCTAAATTAGTGCAAATTAAACTAAAGCTATAATGCAAGCAGGAGTAAGCAAAGAAATTAAAAGTTCATTTTAAAATGGGCTTTTCAGTGAGCCCGAAGCCTAGTATTTAGCTTGAGGCTACTGGTAGTATCATAGATTATTAGGGTTGGAAGGGACCTCTGGAGATCATCTAGTCCAACTCCCTGCTCAAAGCAGGATCAATCCCCAAATGGCCCCCTCAAGGATTGAACTCACAATCTTGGGTTTAGCAGGCCAACGCTCAAACCACTGAGCTATCCCTCCCCCGTAATAGTATACGGTCACATTAGGTCTAGTAAGAATTAACATAAGTAAGTAATCTTGGGTCAGAAGATTTAGCCATATATATCTTCTGATAAACTGTCTTGATTCCTTAACTTCTATCTGCACAAATGTGTACAATTGTCGGAGCCCCCAAAATGGGTAGCAGGCATCACAAATATGGACAAAAGGCCAAAACCTAATCAAATATGGTCTTAGAAATAGGTGGGTGTAAGCAGAGGTGGATTAAAGTTTGGTGGGGCCCTGGGCCAGAGCAAGTGGGGGGCCCCTCCCCACCCTTTCCGCCTGCCGTCCCGCCCCCATTCCGCCCCTTCTGCCTGCAGCCCTGCCCACAGCCCCACCCATTCTGTCCCTTCTCCCCGCGTCCCTGCCCTGTTCCACCCACATTCCGCCCCCCCCACACTATGGTCCCCCGTTTGCTCCTTTCTGCCCTGCCCCCACTGCAACCCCAAGACTGGAGAAGCTCTGTCCCCTCGCCACGGCCCTAGGGCCACAGTGAGAAGTCAGAGCTCCCCCAGCCTTCAGACGGCGGCAGGGAGCTAGAGTTCCTCCAGTCTCAGGGCCGCAGATGGGGTCCCCACTCTGGGGCTTCCCCTGCCACCTGGCGCTGATGCTGGGGAGCGAGGTCGGGGTGCAGGGGCTTCCCCCGCCCCACCCACCCAGCAATCCTGCCAGGGAGTGGGGTCGGGGCATGGGGGTGCCCATTTTTCCAGGGCCTCCTAATTGGCCAGGGCCCCTGGACACAGACCCCATCATCCCAGTGGCTAATATGCCACTGGGTGCAAGGAATAAGTGCATAAAAGGGGCTCAAAACCAACCCTCAGCAGGAGTGACAACCTTAATCTCACCCTAAGGGGAACCCAAATTCATGAGTATACCTGATGAGGAGTCTGCTATTACTCTTGTTTTTCTAGTTCTGTGAGTTTTGTTTCTATTGATCACAGTATTAATAAAATTCATAAAGTCTCTCTGTGTGTGTCACCAATCGTCATCGTAATTAATCTCTACGTAGTCCCCAAAGAACAAACCTATTAGTGACAAGTGCATTCTGCACCTCAAATTAATCATCAGGCTACAAGTGGGAGCTTTGCTTGAGAAAGGCCTGCATGATTTAGCCCAATGTCTCCTATTTTCACTGGTGAGAGGTCACTGCCTAAAAGACTTGAACTGAGGGGAAAATACTTAAGGAAAGAGTGAGTTTATTGAGTTACCCAGCTCCTACTTGGAGGCAGAGGCACCCTGCACCATGTGGGATGTATGGCACAGAGGGAACATTGGGAAGGGAAAAAAGAGCTATACAGGAGGAACCTGAACAAAGGTTCCATTTGGAGTTCTAAAAATGTGAGCCCCACCTCCACCCCCGAAGCCTGATAGGGCTCTCCCAGCAGGCACTCTGGCCTTAAAGCTGCCCTGCAGAGACCCTGAGGGGGCCGGAATTTCTGAGCAGGGAGCAGAAGGGTGGGTCCTCGGACAACCCCTAGGGGGCAACTCCAGCTGCCCCCAGACAGTGCAAGGAAGGGGCCCGGCCCGTACATAAAGTCTGCCGGACATGCTGATGTTAAGGACTTTTTACATACAGTATATTAGGTATAATAAGAAAACTTATTTGGAATTCCCAGGACAAAACTTTCCTGAGCCAGCTCCCCCAGGAAATCACTCCCCCAAAGGCCAATCCCTTCCATGAAATGGTATTCAACGTGGCTGATCCTAGACCTTTTATAATATAGCTTTCCCGCTCCCTGACATTAGCATATTTTCTTTTGCAATGAGCTGGGACATTTGTTTCTTCTAGAGCAAGTGAGCTGCTGCTCTGTTCTTTTTGAGATTCGTGTAAGAGTTTAGGGAGAGGTGGGGGGTGGGTCTGCTGGAAGGGCTGGCTAATCCACCTATTTTTGATTGTGTTCCTTTTTTCTTATTATTACTTAATTTTCGCTGCACTGTTTTTAACACCTGTCAAGAGACTTTCCTTTTTAGTCTCAGCTTCAAACTGCCAACTGCTGACTGTAATCTTGAGCTGCACACACTGCTAAAATATTCTGGTCTGCATGATGAGTGGAGCTGTTGCCTCGGGACACATCTGCTGTCACTGTAGCAGTTCTGTATAGTTTTAAATGACTCCATTTGGCTTTTAATTTTCCTTTTGTCTCCTTTCCCCCAACCCTTGGCCCACGGACCCATGTTTCTTTATAACGCTCATACTGCTGGGTGAGTCGGGTTTGAGTGCTTGCCGGGGTTGCCTTACCTACGGCTTTGCAGTTCTTGGACAGGGTGTCCATCTCGTATCCCTCGTAGCATTCACATTTGTAGTCCCCCTTGTAATTAATGCAGATCTGGCTACAAGCGTCTGGATTCTCACATTCATCTATGTCTGAAAGGAGCGTTTGAAACCCATCAATAACTTGAAATCAAACCATCTGTGATGGAGCAATGCTGGAGTGACTATAATTACGTCTCTGTACAGTGAAACAAGAGACTGCCGTTTGCATGTAAATTACCTCCACACGTTTTTTTATCCAGAAGCTTGTATCCGGGAGGGCATTCACATTCATAACCAATCTTCAAGTCTTTGCATATGTGTGAGCACCCACCGTTGTTGATCGAGCATTCATTTTGTTCTAAAAGAGGCATACAGATTATTTAGGATAAAGGATGGTTTTTACTCACAAGACTGAGTACATTAAAAGGGGGTCGAGGTACCCAGAAATGTTTCAGTAGCTACCAGCTGCTGATGATTGGGAGCTGGCAGTATGGAGCGCACTAGTGACTTCACAAATAGAAAACACCCACCAAAATTCTCTCTTTCGCTAACATTTTAAAGTCCCTTTGGACTAGAATCCAGCGACCTAAAATGACTATGCAAATCAGAGACTCTGGGGACATTATACAAAATTCTTGGGTTCGCAGTTCCCATCCAATCCTAAGTCTTTTGCTTCCATGCATTAACTGTCAAGGGGCCTGAGAATTATCCCCATTTGACTTCCCCCTCTCCCTACTCTCGTGGCACATACCAAACTGTTTCCTTGAGCTGTAATAATCCATTCCAGGAGAGTCGTCTGACCCAATGGTCCCAGCTAACTGGGGAGACTCTACGTGGTATTAGATATTCCCATCTACTACACCAGGGCAATCTATGCTGAGAGAGCCCCAGAATATCCCAAGGTACAGTTCTTTGGAGATATTCCCACCTAACACCGATGTACAGTCCGTACACAGTCCCGAGCTAACAGGGAGATGTGAACAGTCTGACTGCTTACAGCCTAATCTAACTCATGTACAGTCTATACAGTGATAGTCCCATCTAGGACCAAAATCTCGTCTCATCAAATGCTGTTTTTCCCCCTTGTGCAAGAGCTGAAATTGAAAGAGTAGAATTATTGCATCCTCGTAACTATAACTGGAGAGAGGTTGAGGAAGGTTGTTTTCTTGACAGAAATAACATTTTTCTTGTTGTTCCAATTAACCTATACAAGGTGAAGTAAAATGTCTTCCTCTGACTAGGATTGCTGATGCAGATGATGTGGGAGTTCTAGGCCACAGTGGTTCATTGGGGCATGCAGCCCATCAGCTCGAAGCTTTAATGTTATATACAGTCAGATTTATTTATTTATTTTTACTTCTTGCTTCCTTGGATACCATTGTGTAGCAGCCCAGCAGAACCATTAAAACAGTACCCTTGGAAGAAAATAAAAACAACAACAAGCCAATTAAAGTCAACGGGCTAGGAAAACATTGCACCGGGAGACACAGCATCTTGGCTGTAGCATGCTTCCACTTTCCTAACAAAGAAATAAGCACGTTATTAATAGCAGCAAGATCACTAAGCTCTGAGTAGCTGTCCACAGAGTCGTATTGTGTGCCATAGCTGTTCTTTGACATTTATTAAATGGGTATTGCCTTTTACTATCCTTATATTGGCCTCTAGCCTATTAGACTGCGCGCACGCGCACACACACACACACACACACACACACACACACACTTCAAAATGCTACAGGTTATTGTAACTTAAACAAGGATTTGCATGTTAATCATACTTCTGGTTACAGGGGTGCTTTGTAGCATGGATATAAAAACAGTACTCGGGCTGTGGTTCTCTCACTGCAGCTCTTAACATAGACCTAGAAGTAGGCCAAGTGTAGACACTACTCTGCTCAATTTTCTATTATGGACGAGCAGCCAATTACCCAAACTGGGGCCACATTTCCACCTGACAATTTAAATAAGATGACTAATAAAACTCTGCGTCGTTTGGTGCCTTTCTGAGGATCTCAAAGTGCTATGGAGAGGTTGCTAAGTACACTTACGCCCTGTTTTACAGACAGGGAAACTGAGGCAGGCAGTGGTTAAATGACTTGCTCAAGGTCACACACTGACCCACTGGCTGGAATATAACCTGTATCTCCTGACTCCCACTTCCCCGTTCTAATTACCTGCATGTTGCTGGCAGCACCCCTTATGTCGCACCATGCGGGCGCCACTCCGGAGGGCGCCAGAGCTGGTTCCCTCCAGATACTGCTCAGGAAAAGCTTCCGGCACTGGTGCATGTGGCGAGCACACACACGTAATATGGCATGGACATGAGCAAGCACTCAAAGAAGAACAGCAATGTTAAATCACTGTCTCCCAAGCATACACTCACATAGACTCCTCTGTGCTGAGTCAGGTGTGCGTGAAAGGTGTAATGCATCAATGTTCATGGGCTGATGATGTTGGGTGGAGGTTGGGACCCTATGAGATCCCCCTGTACAGTTTCCCCCGCCTCTCTGTTTGGGTTGATACGGCATGACAGGCGGCACAAGTGGCATTGCTAGCCTTTGGCAGCTCTGGGATAAAGTACAAAAGTCAGCACTAGAACTTCAGACCTTGGTCTGGGTCATGTTTCCCTATTTCTGAATCAGGATTTGAAAGAAAAAAAAAAATCTTCCTGTATGTGAAATATTTTTTCACTCCGTTACATTTTCTGAACTAGCCTCTTTGGACTAACAATCTTTGAGGCCGGATTATTGCTGGTTCCATGCAGGTGTGCACGGGTGGAAGGGAAGAGCGCAAGGAGCCTGTCCCATACACCTTTGCATGTGAGCCAGCCACAATCACAGTCCTTGCACTGCCTGAGTGCTCCAAACTAGTGCTGCTGCTGGCAGTATTCTCCTACAAGGATGGGTGAAAGGCTCAATAGCCCACCAATTTCCTGCACTAAGGAGTCCTCCAGGAAGAATGGAACTGCTCTTTGGTGGTGTGGTTTGGAGTCTCTTGACCTTCTAACAGTGTCTATGCAGCAAACAGGTGCTTGTCAGAGATGTGCTTGTATGGCATCTGTGATTTTCACTAACTTGGAATCCAATGTAATTTTACACAGAGGGAATTTTTATCAGGCTCATCTGACACCATGCCCGTAATCCCTAATGAAAACCTCAATAACACAGAATCATAGAACTGGAAGGGACCTCAAGAGGTCATCTAGTCCAGTCCCCTGCATGTAGAACATGGAACATGTAGAAACTGGAAATGGGAAACATCCATAGAACTCACCTATCTGACAATAATACTCAGCAAGCACTTTCTATCTTTAAAGCGTTTTACAAACACTAATTAACCCACACACCAGTAATTATCTGGTGTCAGGGGGGTTAGAATGTATGAGTTCCTTGCTCCTGTGCTCAGATCACACATCCCTCCATGAAAATCAAGTGCATTTCTTGGTGGAGGAGAGTGGAGCAAGCCTCCAATCACACCTGTGCAAGCCCAAAGACCTAAAAAAGCCAGAGAGCCCAATTCTGCTTCCATTTCTATCAGTGCAATGGGTACAGTGTGTGCAGAGAGAGAGAGAGCGAGAGAGAGAGCGCGCAGCCAGGAATGGCATTAGCAGCCACAAGTTGTTATTCTGCTAGTCATGAGCACCAGAGAGAGAAGAGGTTAACACAGCAGCAATAAGAGGAAAGAGGTGTGTACTGTACCACATTCTTTCACAGGCTCGTCAGACCCGTCCCTGCAGTCTCTATGTGAATCGCACACTTTGACTCCATCAATGCACTCTCCATTTTTACACTGAAACTTCCTGGGGCTTTCACACGTGGACTCTGTTGTGTTGGGCAAGAGAGGAAAGCGACTAAATTAGATTAAGGTCATGATAATGAAGACTGAACATCAAGCTTCAAGAGGTTAAAATTAGCAGTAATGAGATGGTGTTAAGCAAAAGAATATTTGGACTGAACATCATGCAGGATTATTTTTTTTCCTGAAGAGTGAGGTCTATTAGGACTTTGGAAAAGTTCCTAGGGAAGCCCCATTACTGGCATAATTTAAAATGCTCTATAAGGAACAACCCGGCATTGGCCTGGGGAGATGGATTAGGCAAGCTAATAGGCCTTTTAAATCTCCAGTGCCTACAATGTTCTGACTGAGCTGGACTTCTTGTTGTACCATACACTGGAGTGTAAGGTGCATTGGCTATACGTACCGTTAATGCAGCCTGCCTCATCGCTGTTGTCAGGACAGTCGTGTACCTTGTTGCACTGCTTTGCTCCATGGATACAGGTCCCGTCCCCACATTGGAATTCATCAGGGCGGCAGGTCACCAGTGCTTTAAAATGACACCATCAAACTGTTAACCAGTATGGATTTTAAATGGCTTCATACAATAGTCTTTAACCACATACAATGGACTCTTCATTTGGCTTATTAAACTGTACCTAACATGCTCCCTGGGCTCCTATACCCAATTTAAAACATAAATTATATGTAGGGTTACCAGACAGCAACTGTGCAAAAACGGGACGGGGTGGGGGGGTAATAGGCACCTATATAAGAAAAGTCCCAAAAAACGGGACTGTCCCTTTAAAAACGGGACATCTGGTCACCCTAATTATATGTAGAGTTCAGTGTGTATATTAAAGGGCTCAACAGAAACTCAGTAACTCTTTCTCTGTGCAGGGAGCTTTAAGAGTTAACAAACCTAGGCTCTGTGAGACCAACAGGGGGTGAGGGCTCGTCACTGAGAATGTCCTGCCTTTAGCCCTCAGATGTTTAAACATGGCAGCTGAGGTGCTCCAGTTGATCTTATGGCAGAGCACGGGGAGTGAAGTGGGTTTCTAAGGTTAGCCAGGACCAGCCCGTATAGGGCAAAACCAATACCTTGAATAGCAGCCCAGAGCCAATCGGTGCAGACAATGGAGCTTTCCTGTCAGAAACAACGTTAAGCAAGTGGGCAGCCAAATTCTGTGCTCACAGAAGTTTGAGTGGTTTTCAGCTTTAGCCCATACGAGGTCCACTGCTGCACTCCAATTCAAAGGAGACGAAGGACCGTGTGCCAACGTTGGCTACCGCACCTCAGCTTTTTATTTATTTTAGATTTTAAAAAGATTTTTTTAAAAATACATTTTGAAACATGTCCAGCCTGAGGTGATGGGCCAAATTCATCCCTGGTGTAAGTCCACGAAAGTCAATGCAGTTACACCAGGGACCAATCTAGGACTGGAGACGTGATTGTCAGAGATGCTGAGTACTCAAAAGTCAAACTGAAGACCAAAGGGAGTTGTAAGAGCTCAGCTGAGGGCCAGGCTCCGTGCTAAGTTACAGTCTGAAAACATCTTGGCAGACTCAGACCATGTTTCAAGCCCGGAGCTAATTTTTCTGGTCAGGTTATTACTGACTCAAAACAGGTCTTCATAACAGAAACATTAAGAAACCCCTCTGTTACAGAGGGCTGGATTCACAAGGGGGACTTGGGCTTGGCAACACTCGGTGCTACAATGCTTAACTTTTGAGCACCCCGCTGCCTAGTGAAATTCACAACCCTGAGCAGGGCTGACTCCAGGCACCAGGCACCCAAGCTGGTGCTTGGGGCGGCACCTGGAGGGGGGCGGCGCGGCGCTCCGGCCGCCGGGGAGAGCCGAGCCCCAGCCGGGGCTCGCGGCCCTGCCCCTGGCGCTCTGGCCGCCAGGGTGGGGGGGAGAGCCGAGCCCCCGCCGGGGAGAGCCGCCCTCCTCCCAGGGCTCCGGCCGCCCTCCCCTCTGGCGCCCTGCCCCTGGCCGCCAGGGGGAGAGCGGAGCCCCCGCCGGGGCTCCGGCCGCCCCCCC